TAATGATTAAAAAGTAATAAAAAAGAAAAAGAGAAAAAAAATAACTAATTAATAAATTACATTAATTAAATTGTTATACAAATATTTAAGTAACAAAAATAATAAAAGAATAAGACAACAAAAGACAAAAAATAAAAAGAATGTTGATTGTGATAGGGTTATGGGTGTAGTTAGCATGGGTTAGGGGTGTCAATAACCTCATCATCAATATCAAAATTTATCTAATACTTTCTTTTCCATACACATTGTGATAACCGGATCCTGGTTATCACCCAAGATAATTAATACGTGATTATCTGATTATATGATTACGTGATAGCATGATAAATTGATACATTTAATCATGTTTGTATGATATATATATATATATATGTGTGTGTGTGTGTGTATGTGTGTGTGTGTGTGTGGTGAGGCAGGACTCATGCATGTGGAAAGGAGGCTGTTATGGCCGACCTTTCCTGTTTTGGAAAGGTATAAAAGGAGGGTTCAACCTCCATTTGCATTTTTTCTGCTGCTATTTGTAAGAAGTGTTTGTGCGATTTAAGATTGATCGGATTGCAAGATCAAGTTGATTTCAAGTATCTGATTTCAAAATGTTTTTCAAGGTGAGTGATTTCTAACATAAAATTTGATACTGGTTTTATTTGAATGTTGATTATTATTGGAAAGAAATTAGGTATTTGTTTAAGGGTTTTATCCGGACAAAGGGTGACCGGATTAAGTCTAAATCGGATAAAGCTTGTCCGGGTTATTCTTATGTCGATCAAGGGTTGGGCGATTAAGCCCTAAACCGCTCAAGTGTTAAACGGTTTAGTCTTAAACCGATTAAGTGTCAAGCGAGTTATGATTGGTAAAAATGGTTAACATTTTGAACTGAGAAGTAGGAATACGACCATGTGGTGACTGAATTATTTTAAATCGATCAAGCTTTGGGCGATGTATTGTCTGGACTTGTTATCCGGACAAAGGTGTTGAAATTTGTTCTATGTTAAATCGGATAAACCTTGGACGATAAATTGTCCGGATTTGGTAAACCGGCCAAGACTTGACCGGAGATGAAGTCCGGCCAAGTCTATGCTGACCGGATTTGTTTTATGCCTTGTGCTTGAAGGATAAAAATTGTTATTTTATCATAAAATGAAAATTTGATATAAATAATTTTGGATTAATAATAATTCCAATGGTTGCGGTTTATTTGGAATTATTTTTGTGAAATGTTTTGATGAGGAAATAAGGGTGGCATATCAAGGAGAGGTGTACCGTGGGATAAGGGTGGCATATCAATGAGAGGTGTACCATGGGATAAGGGTGACATATCAAGGAGATGTGTACCATGGGATAAGAGTGGCATATCAAGGAGAGGTGTACATTTGATATAAGGGTGGCATATGTATGTGTGTTGTATGATATAACTCTTTCTATTATATCCTTTAAGACTACCGTGGTCTGGAATATTTATTTCTCTGTGATTTAAAGATTTAGGATCAAGGTTCTTATTGGAAATCATAGTCTGGATGTTATTGAGGAGAAAATATCAGGTTTGGACAGAACTTTATGAAAACCTTGTTTGATTAGAAAAAGGTTTAAAAGTGGYATTATATGAAACCTGATTGGTTCAAAGGTATGAGAATTGAATAGCTGAGTGCTTAATTTGAAAGTAAAAATGATCTAGTATTGTGTCCATATTTGTTATATATATGAAAGGTTGTTTTCCATAAAGGTTTTGGTGATTTACACCCTGCAATAACATAAAAGAGTAACTCACTAGACCTTTCGGTCTAACCCTCGTTTTGTGATTTTAACTATGTGTTGCAGGAGGTGCGGACGGTAAAGAAATGGGGAAAATGTAATATTTTCCTATATGCATTTCTGTATGAAGATTTGTTTTTGATGTACAGTTTTGATTGATTAGTACAAGAAATGTATTTGAATTTTTGGACCTTGTATTTGGTTATAATAGATTCTTATACTAAGGGACCATAATGGGATAATATCATGTATTTCTTTTGTATAAAATATGTGCTACATGAAATTTGTGGTTTGGGGCGTTACAGAAAGTGCTACCAGAGCCTGAGTTTAAGGGATTTAGGTATTTAACAGCATGATACCTAGACTTAAACTGTTTTATTGCATATTAAGGGTCCCAGACGTAGTTAGCACCATTGAAAATAAATATGATGGGTTGAAAGAACAGTGTGTAAGGTAAATTTTAATTACRTCTGGCCAGTGTAATTATGAATTTACAGGTACACATTTGAACTTGAATACTTCATTATATTTGGGAATGTGAATACGTGATTATTAATACTAAACTCTACAGATGTCTAGCCGAACTAGAAGATCTGAAAGAACGGCTCATCCAGAGTCTGAAGAAAGGGAAGAGTCACATGTTAATCTTCCAACTAACACGTCCAGAAATAGAGGTCGGGGAAGACCAAGGGAACGAGGTAGAGGAAGAAATCAGTCTCAAGGGAAGGGTCGTACTGAAGTTCATTCTGAACCTGAAGAATCCCATTTTGGGAATGTTCAGGAGAGATCGGTGCCACACCCTGAATATGTAATTAGGGACATGTTGGCATAAGAGATGGGGAAATTGAGGGAAACTTTGACTTCTATTATGGGAATACCAGCCAGGGTGGAAATAGAAAGAGTGAAAGTTCATCCCTCTGTTCCAGTCACCCACAACAAGGAAGGAGACATTAAGATGTTTTTGGCATGCAAACCACCAACCTTTTCTGGGGAAAGAGATYTAGTGAAAGCTATGTGCTGGATCAAGGAGATGGAATATGTGTTCAACATCATTCGGTGCCCAGAAACAGATAAAGTGCGATTTGCTGTTTCTGTATTAAAGTCAAATGCTTTGTTCTGGTGGAAAGTTGAATCGTTAGCCAGAACAGATGTTTTACAGACTTTGTCTTGGGTAGAACTTGTGGAACGATTCAAGAATCAATTTTGCCCTAAAACAACAGTAAGACAAATGGAGGAAGATTTCCTGAAACTAGAACAAGGAAATGGAACAGTTCGAGAGTATACCGAGAAATTCATTGAATACTCTCGATTTGCCGAACACTATGTTTCAACCGAACCCAGGAAAATAGAAAGGTATATTTGGGGTTTGAAACCCTCAATCAGAGAGTTTGTTATTACTATAAACCCCAATACCTTTTCGTAAACGGTAGATGCGGCTGAAGTGACTGAACGAAATAAAAACCGACAGCCAGAAGGAAAGGTTGTAGAGAAGAGAAAATGGGAAGGGCCTTAATCTTTTCGAGGGCCGAAAACTGTAAGATATGATAACAGATCTGAGCAGAAGAGCAATGAGAAAGTCTGTTCACAATGCCGACAGGTTCATCAAGGTGAATGCAAGATGGACCCAAGGAAATGTTATAAGTGCGGCGAAGTAGGTCATCTGTCTAGAAACTGCCCAGCTAACAGAAGGTGTTTTAATCGCAATTCTCTGGATCATATTCGACCGAATTGTCCCTTGTTAAGAACTCCGCAGTTAACGATGGGGAGTAACGCGTCGGGTACTCGGGGAATGCCTACTGTGAACAGAGGAGGGCAAGGAGGGGCGCGGGGACGGTCCTTCCAAATGACTAAGAACGAGGCAGAAGCATCGCCAGATGTAGTAACAGGTACATTTCTTCTGAATTCAATATGTGCTAAGGTGTTATTTGATTCTGGTGCAAACTTTTCGTTTGTATCACCATTGTTTGCTCAAACTGCATGTCTGGATTCTGTGATACTTAATGATGAGTTAGTAGTTGATATTGCTAATAGTCAGGAAAATGTTGCTAGTGTGTTCAATAACTGTATTATTGTGATTGGGGACTGTGAACTTCAGATCCGGTTATTTCCC